TGGATAAAAGGCCCACTCTCTTATGTATTTGCCCCCTTCCCCGTTTCTTCCCCTAAGATGACATTTTGCTGTGTGGGGAAAGGTGGGTGCGATTTATGAATTCTGCCGGCCCTGGGAATAAAGTAGGAATTCTCAGATTCACATGGTAGCTTTGTATTCTCTTCTGGCCCTTTCCTTGCTGACTCCACTGTCTGTCTAGTCTCTAGAGGCCTGCTTGCGTTTCTGGAAGCAGTCGGGAGCTGGTGAACTCATGATCCTTTATTTTGGCTGGGATAGAATGATAGGGGAAGGGCATGTAACTGTTCCCAGCCCTATGAACTCAGCTCGGCCCTCTGTGTCTATAGAACCACTTTCCTGCCGACTGTTCCATCCAGCTCAGGGGCCAGTGGTCACTCCTAGTCACTCCCTGTGGGGCTGCTTGCCCTGTGACAACAGGTCCACCCCTTACATAACCGGGGATAGCTAGGGAAGCTCATGGGCCCTCCCTCTGTCTTATCACGTGACTAGGGCAACGGTCATTTTGGTGTAGGCTTTATAAGAAACATTATGCCCATTCCACGAGTTTTTGAGGACAAACATCGTATGGAAAGCATCTAGAGCTGTACCTTTAGAACGCAGGTCTTGTTTGTTCTGGACATTCAACTTTTCTGTACACTTTCAAAGATCAAAATATTGAGGTCTAAGATTATTTCCATGGGCATGAAAGTCACAGTTTCCAGAGATTTTCTGACTGTACAACTTTTCATTTCATAGGCCAAATAGAAGCCTTCTCTTCAACAGTAAATTTAGATTTCAAATTGTTCACGGACTAACTTCCTTGACTCCCTCCTGTAATCTGCTACTCTGTGGGGATTTTCTGAGGCTGCCTAAGTCTTAACAGAAAATCCAAATGTTCATAGTTCTTGGTAGACTTTTTGGATCTATAATGGCCTTTCTTATTATCACACACATCTAAATAGCAGAGTATTTTTTCAGATGAAGATTGGTATTGTCAATGGCTTCTCTATTGAAAGTAACTTTTTTTTTTTTTATAAAAACAACATAAACCGTTTTATTCAAATCTAGTGTCATGCTTTGAGAACTAACTCCAGAGATATATTTTCAGGGGTATCTCCCCAGTGCCCAGTGTCTGGATTCCAGCTTGCATTCTCTTTGTTGTTTCTGGTTTTCGATTACTACACCTACAGGAATGTAAAATAAACTTTCCTTACTGGGAAAGTTACAGAGTATACATAAATTGGATCTCTTTCTTTATTCTCATTAGGACCTTTTCAGAGAATGCCATGGATTTTCCTTCCCCTGCCACTTGCAATGTTTCTCTAGCTAGATCTTAGAACTGCTGGATCCTTAGCATTTGGGGTTCTACTTAGACCTACTTGAGCGGGTCAGGTAATTTATTTCTTTTGGATAAGCATGCATGTGTCTTCAGAGGATTCACACACTTAGGAAGACTGGGGGCCCCAGGTGGAGAACGTGTGGCTTTTTTTTTTAATTTTTTTTATTTTTAAAAATTTTTTTTTTCAACGTTTTTATTTATTTTTTTTGGGACAGAGAGAGACAGAGCATGAACGGGGGAGGGGCAGAGAGAGAGGGAGACACAGAATCGGAAACAGGCTCCAGGCTCCGAGCCATCAGCCCAGAGCCCGACGCGGGGCTCGAACTCACGGACCGCGAGATCGTGACCTGGCTGAAGCCGGACGCTTAACTGACTGCGCCACCCAGGCGCCCCGAACCTGTGGCTTTCAAATATCTTTCTTTCATGTGTGATGACCTCTAGCTGGTGCAGGGGCAGGATCCAACCAGTGAAAGGGCCTCCTGTTCTCCTTCTGGGCTCAACCAGGGCCATTCACTCACCCATTCACCTTCTTCTCAAGAAAGATTCCTGGAGTGTCCACCGTTTCCCAAGAGTTACGAGGGATCGAGAGAACACAGAAATCTATCTTTGGCCACAATGCACACTGAGCCCCAGCCAGTGTTCTTTTTCTTACTGGTAGAGGGATGCAGATAATGAAATATGGAAGGTCAGATTATGGTCACCACGAACATTAGCAAATGGAATTTAGTATAAACTGAATTCCCATGCCAAGTACCCCCATTACAGTCATTATCTTCAATATTTTAACCACATTATTTTATTAAGTGCTTGCAGACACACTGAGCTATCGCATTTACGGAGCACACGTACTACAACATGGAGGACAGCCGGCTTGGCCGACATCAAAGACAGAGAGGCATAGACTGATGTAAGGCGAACATTCGTTCTTCACTGAGGTCATTCCCAAACAAACAACATGATATAGCATTTGTGTCCTGCAGATGAAATCGAAGATGATCACATGAATTACTAGAAGTATCATCTGGCTCAAAGCGAACTTTTGGTATATATTACAGGTATATGATAAGTCAAACTGTGGCGTAGAATCTTGTCTGCTAGGTATAGTTCTCGACTTTTACCTTCAAAATCAGCTTTGTGACTCTTCTTTTTTTAAAAATGTTGGTTTATTTATTTTGAGTGAGAGAGAGAGAGTGTGCACCAGCGGGAGAGAGACAGAGAGAGAGGAACAGAGAGAATCCCAAGCAGGCTCCGCGTTACCAGCACAGAGCCCGACATGGGGCTTGATCTCACAAACTATGAGAATGTGACCTGAGCCAAAATCAAGAGTCGGGTGCTTAAATGACTGAGCCACCCAGGCGCCACATGACTTTTTTCTTCTCTTTTCTTTTCTTTCTTTCTTTCTTTCTTTCTTTCTTTCTTTCTTTCTTTTTATTTGTTTTTGAGAGAGAGAGGGAGAAAGAGCGTGCGCAGGGGTGGGGCAGAGAGAGGGAGACACAGGATCCAAAGCAGACTCCAGGCTCTGAGCTGTCAGCACAGAGCCTGACGTGGGGCTCGAACTCATGAAAAGTGAGATCTTGACCTGAGCTGGAGTCAGATGCTCAACTGACTGAGCCACCCAGACACCCCCACATGACTCTCCTTAAGAGCATAATTGCTTCAGTCTCCCTCTCTCTTTCTTTCTGGATGTGTGTGTGTGTGTATACACACATAACATAGATATATATGCCTATGTATTTTTATGGATCTTTAGATCGTTTGCGAGTACCTTGTTTTCTAAAACCAGTGCTCATGTTGTCATTTTTTTTAAAGGTATTTTATTGTCGCTATATAATTTCATTTTTTAAAAGAAGCCTATGCAGCAACGTAACAAATTTACTTTTTAAAACATCACCGAGGTATCAAAAAAGTCCCTATAATGCCAATAAGTGTTCCCCCTGCAGAACCTGTACAAATCAGACAAAAAAACCAATTGGGGCTTTTTAACATCATCAACTAACAAGCCATACAATAACCAACTGGCTCTCTTAGTGAGGTTAGAGCAAAAACACGTACTACTGGATAATCGTAGAAATTTTCCATCTCTCAATCCAAACCTTACCAGCGGTGCCCCTCACCACCATTTTCCTCTTCCTGCTGTAAGACTGTGCTGTCTTTATCAAACAACCTCTAATGCTGTTTTCAGGCTAGTATTATTTTGCCACATCTTCTTTAACTAACTGTTACTGGGTTCATCAACCTGTTGTACCTGATAAGGAGGGGAGCTTCCAATAAGTTACTAAAGCTTTCGATGAATCTCCTCTCCCAGGGCTCTTGGCCAACAGGTGCACAATGGTGAACTTACGGATTTTGTGGTAAAAGGAAAATTTGTTGTAATGCCAAACGCTCACCCACTGAATTCCAGAAATGGCGCCACGACCTTCCCACAAACCACCGGGATGGCCGAAGCACGGATTTATGAAAGTTAACTTCTGGCCTTGTGCCGAAGTTACTGCTTCCGGGTGGGTGAGTGGATGGGATCCCTTTGCTGATTAGTTTTTTTTTTTTTTTTTTTAATTCCTTTCTACCTTAGGTGGAATGATTTAGGCTGAGCCCAGCGTCCAAGAGCAGTCGCTCCCTGCCCTTCTCTTAAGCAATTTATTTTCATTTACTTTCTACCCATCTTTACCAGTTTGGTAGAATGTATTTTAGATTCATGATACGTCCATACGTGAACCAGGGAGAAGCTTCTTTTCCTTATGGTTCCCCGCGAAGTGGCTTCAGGGCAATGACAACTCCAAGGAGAAACTAGGCTTGAACGCAGAGCTCCCGCTACTCTCAGCCCCCCTGACGCTTCACCAGGTGTCCAGAGCGCTGCCTCTGAGAACCTCACAGCAGCTCGTCCCTGATGGCCGAAAAATTCGCCAAAAGGCGGGACAAGTGTAAGAAGAACATTTGCCACAATCCAGTCTCTAGTGACATGACCCCGGATGAAGGTCGTCGCGTTCAAAAGCGTCATATTTAGCAGCTCTTCAGGCAGAGACCACAATGGATTTTGTAAAAGCGCACCAGGAAGGCAGAAACAGTTCAACCCCATTAGAAGAGAGTCCTTATTTTATATTTCCCCCCTTATCTAAAACGGGCAATTGCTTTTCTGCCAAATAGGCTCAAAAGGGCCATGAAAACTAAAGTCCTTCAAAGCTGTTAAACGCATCCTCAAATTTACAATAAAATTCAGCATGACAAATCTTCCAGTAAAGTCTCTGGAGCATCATAGCAGCACTTCAACAATTTTTCTTTAAGTTAGCATGTTAGTATTCAACACCTTGAGCTACAGGGAAAGCAAATGCGGGCAAGGCAAGCAAAACAAAACAAAAACCAAAAGAGGAAGAAAAAAAAAAAAAAAAGCCACCACCGACAAAGACAGTGGGAGAAAAAAAAAAAAAAAAACCGCACACAGCCACGCACGCTATCAGGCATATGCCAAAGTAAACAATCGGTGTGGGTTTGCCACGGCTCTGCCCTGCAGGTAAGACCACAGGCAGCACGGGAGCTAATGGACAGGGAAAGAGAAAGGCGGATGGAAGGGGGAAAGAGAAGGCAGAGTGCGAGAGCCGCGGAGCCGGAGCAGGACGGCCTGATTTGTAAGCCTCAAGACACAACATCAGCCATGCAAAACAGGACATACCTTTCTGACTTGCTGGTTCTGTCGGCTGAGACAAAGCAGTCCTATTCACAGCGGGAGGCCAAATCAAAATGAAATTTTATTTAGTCTGCACTGTCCCCAGATTGGGTTTCAGAATGACTGCTTTAGGAGATAGCATGGATGTGGCGGATGCATGCTTTGCATATGAAACTGCAGTAGGAAAAGAAATCTACATAATCAAAAAAATCTGTGCTCTGTGTATGTGACAAAAAGCCTGGACTACAGTGATTTTACTGCAGGGTATGTTTTCAGGCAGGCCCTTCTGGGGTGAAACGCGTTTAAAAAAAACGTCTTATGCAATATTTGCAGCAAATAGTCAGAAATCTGTAATACACCACGAAAAAAATCTATAGATTCCTGCTTGCAACTCTGCCACATCGAAATCATTGTGATTTTTCAGCAGATTTATGAATGCATCAAAAATTTGCGGCAGGGAACCGACTGAATTTTCAAACATGCGCAGATTATTTTGAAGGCGTTTATTCTGACAATTACTATACCCCTGAACCCCGACAAAATAAATGGAAAGCTTAAGTCTGATGCAATACTGAAATGAACACTGAGAGTCCCTTTGACTTTGCTCTGGGAAGACATTTAACTCATTCATATTTAAAGGCTATTTTTAAAAAGAGGAAAAAAAAATCTTTCAAAATACGGGCGAGATGTCGAAAATATTTTTAAAATCAAGAGAAGGGACCGTAAAATGTATATAGAATGCACATCAGGGAATCTTTGAAAAAAATGCTTATATATATATACATATATATATATATATATATATATATATATATATATATATACATACAGATACACTGACTGTGTTCTTAATACAGGGTTATCACTGGCCTTGGCCAGGAAAGGGAAGTGGTAAGCAAGGTACAGTGAAACAAGGGGGCAGAATAGAGCCTGTTGATAAATATATATTATTTCTCAAAGAAATACTTATCCCAGCTTGATTTTGATAGATCAGTTCCTTGAGGTTGGACTCTGCCAATCATTTTCTTAGAAGAGGGGAAAAAAATAAAATAGAATAAGAGATTGAAAGAAAGAAAACCTACCTGCGTACAATGGTAGCAAAAAGACAAGGCAGGCTCTCCCCACTGCGCAGGGCTCTGAAAAACCTGGACAGTCATCATTCTGTCTTACGAAGTATTCCTAAGGACAAGAGGAATAGGAAATCTGCCCATGTGAGCTGTGAAGAGGTAGTCTCCAAGCCTACAACCCAGAGCAGCAGACAAACTTCTCTCAATAATGAGATACACATAGCTCAAATAATATGCTTCCACACAGCCCCAGCAGAAACCCCCAACTACGGAACTCTGAACCGATACCCCTTAGAGAAACAGTCAAGACTCATTGTGTGATTCAGGTTTGGACATAATTTCTTAGGAAAGCTTTCTCCTGCTCCAGCTTAGAAGGGTGACCTGTCAATACTGATATTTACAAATGCAAAGGTCTCTTTAAATTGATCCTTTTGCGTTCGGTCAGATGGCATCGTGTTCTGCCGTGCGTGCCACCAGCATAATTACAGCCTAAAATCCAAACAGAGCAGGGCATTTGCTTCTTTTACGCTCCAGGACCACCGGATCCAGGTCTCCCTATAACAAGGGCGCTGCAGTGGCTTCTCTGTTGCTTTCAGGCAGGACCCTCTTTTGCCTTGGCTTTCTATTCTATCATAATTATTCAGAGAGTTATTAGGCAGGAGTTTTGCCTGCACGTTATTTTCAGTGACAAGACACCCCTTTTCTGAGGAACGGAAAGATGTTAATTCTCAACAAATCCTATATCCCCCAAATTCAGTGCACCTGGCATTCACTTTCTACCTAATAAGCATCCGTGAATATGCAAATGTTCAGTGTCTCAGTAACCTCATTAATTTATTCCTCAGGCAATCATAGAATGTGAACCAGCCCTGTGCCACCAGTGCTAGAGACGGTGCCGATCAGGGCGATGTGAATCAACTAGAAAGCTCAGGCTGCATATTGAAACACTGTTTCATCTTTATTCCGTCCTTTGGCACTCTAATTCAAACAAAGACTCTTACCTTCCTCTACTTAGCTGACAGCAAAAAGCAAAAGTAGGGGGAAAAAATGCCGAGGGATAATCATTAAGATCTCCCCCTTCACCACCAAATACGAACCAGAGGTGATTCATGGTTTGAACAAAATCTCCACAGCAAAACAGTTCCAAACTGCCCAAGTTCTCCGGTTTTGTTATTTATTGGGGGGCGTGAGGGGAGGGGGGGTTAGAGGGCGACCTGCTTTCCATACTGCAATGCAGTTGAATCATCTTTCTCTTTGCCCACATTAAAAGCCCTGAATAATGTTTATAAAATGTTAGGGAATCCCGGTAGGTTTCCTATTTAACAAGCCATGTATGACAAATCACAGTGTAATGTACTACGTTCTTAATCTTTAATTAGAATGTGAATATCTGCTAGAGAACGCAGTTAACTTTGACACGTTAAATCTTCTGGTTAAAGTGCCTTACAGGAAGAGCAAAGATGAAACACTGGAACAGTCTCCTGCTTCTCTCCATTCACCCAGACAGTTGGGGAAGGATGATAACATCTTGTAATACCTGCTCTGTAGTAATTAATCGCTGTGGTATTTAGGACCATTCAAGTAGACAAATATGACAGAGACAGGGACAATTAGGAACCTTGTTCAAGCTACATTAACTTTTCCAGCTATTACAACACAGCAGCTCAAGTTTGCTTGTAAAAGCTGCAGAGGGATTGCTATGCATTAGCCGTGCGATTATTAATGAAAGAAAAGGAGAATTGTGTTTATTGTAGTTTGAAAATTGCAAATAAATTTCAATTATCTGCTATGTCATTTTGTTAAACATGCATTCTGGAAATGCCTTTGTACTCTAAATCATGAGCTACTTATAGCAAACTAATACCAGAAACCCTCAGGGAGCCAGGAAGTCAATATTTTTGTTGAAACGCTTTTCTTTCTTTTTTTTTTTTCTTTCTGTCTTTCTGTTCGTTTTTTACTTTTACTTTTTCTTTCTTTTTTTTTCTTTTTTTCTTTCTTTCTTTCTTTCTTTTTTTTTTTTTTTTTTTTTTTTTGTAAGTGAAACTGGAGATGGGCAAAACCCAAAACCACCTGAATGGGTTTCAGGTAGCCTGCTCTGTGGTAACCTGACATTCATTCGGCCCCACCATTTACCAATAGACCTTGAGTCAGATGTCCCAAGCAGACATCAGGGCAATCAGAACCACACTGTTAAAAGAAACCAGAGAAGCTCTCCTTCCTTTGGGAGCATCCTCAAAATAATTATAAGAAATCACTTATGATAAATAAATAACGTCTGTCATCTGGCCATCTCTGTCTCTTCCAATAACAAAGCCAGTTTTGGGGGAAGAAACACCTACAGAGGGGTTTCTCAGCTGTGGAGGTGATGAAGAGTCAACGTGTCTGGAGAATGGTTCGTGTCTATTCTCTTTCACGAGGACAACTGCCAATCACTTTGAATGGCAAACTCGATCTTGAGAGGGGGAAAAAAAAAAGAAAGAAAGAAAGAAAAAACAACAAGCCACACTTGGGAAGCAGGGATAAACACACCCGTTTCTCTGCTGCCTTTTGTGAAACTATTTATTTCTCAAAGCAGTCAGACATGTGTATCTAGTACCAAACCTCCCCTCGGTGTCTCCCACCCAAACCATGCCGCAGGCGCACTTTCAAGGCGCTGACGAGACGTATGCCCGGTGGCCTAGAAAACGTCTCAAGTCCAAACTTCCCATGTGCCCCGCTCTGTTCCGACTACCCAGGACCAGCCCAGTGACATGCTTTCCCCCAGTCTCTCCTCCGATTTTACTGGCCATCAGGGACTGAACACGAAAGAATAATTCTCGTATGTCCAGGAACTGGAGACCTGGTCCAATTGTCTTCTGTAAATCAAAGAAAGACCAGCTTAGCATGGCACAAATCTGCATCCCCACCCCAGAATCTGTTGTCACACACACACAAAAAAGCCGCTCAGTGCTCAGGAACAATCTCCCCTCTCAGCCGAGCTGCGATGATGTCAGCTTTCTGATTACAAACTGCTTATTTATGCTTCAACAGCTGCCAAGAGGAGCAAATAAGTGGCTAAAAGAGTGTCTAGACCAGGCTTTCAGTCCGCTATTGTCTGGGGGTTGTTACCTGGTTGACAGCGATGGGTCCAGCTGCCTGGTGTGAAAGGGAGCAGGGATGGGGAGGCAGTGATTGACAGAGGGGCCCTCCGGGTCAGCCCGGATGGCCCCACGTCTTTATATTCCGGGCTCCAAAGGGAAAGCCAGGGCCCTGCCTCAAGGTTGGAGGTGAAAGGAAATGTTGGAGGGTAATGAAAAAAATCTTTTGGCCAAATTTGCGATCATGAACACTTCCCCGGGGGGATCGAAGCCAGTCCAAGTGGCCTCTGAGTAGCCAGCAGTGGGCAAAAGGAGCGGGCCATTTCTGATGAAGCTCCCGGGCCCCTGGGGGGCGGGGGGGGGGGGGGGGTGGGGGGAGGACGCAGAGACACACATACGTTCACTTTCTTCTTTTTCATCTTCCCGTGTTCATTTGGCGCTCTGGGATGGGACACTTCATTCCCAGCGAACGCGTCTGTGGCCACCTTTTAAATTCACCGTCCCTATGGCTCGGTGAAGGTCTCAGAACCCCTCCCCCTCCCCCCCTTTTTTAGGACTTTCAATTGAAGACTGACAGAGCAAGAAACACTCCAACATTTGGGAAAAACAAGGAGCTTTGCAAGCTGACGTAAATGTCTAATTAGAATTTTCCACTACCCCTTGCAACCTTTGAATCTTGCTTTCCCATTTGTTTCCAGCCACGCTCTCCATTTTAACACTTTTCAGGGTAGATTTGAATGTACCAGATCGCTCCCTTCATCCCCGTGTCTCACGATTCACTGCAGTTGATTGGCACCAAGCATTTGTGGCTTTCATGCTGCTCCTCCCCTCGCCCCCATTTTAGAGTTTGGGGTTCTTGCGAAGAAAAGAATACTGCTCCATATTGATCACCAAGAGGCACTCATTTGAATATAATAATAATAGTAGTGAAATACCTTCCTCCAGGATGCCCAGCCCCCTACTTATTGCTACTCAGATACTTTGTGCCTTCTCAGGGACCGTATAGCATTATTATTTAGACACCATTGTTCCTATAAGGACAATTACGAAGCCCGGCTCCCAGGGGGTGGCGGCTAATGCTTATACTTCCAAATTTTCATTCCTGTTTACTTTTTCCCAGGCGCCAAAAACAAACAAAAAAAAATATCGCTTCCAAATGTTGGCCATGATCAATGACGCGAAGAGCACAAATCTGATGGCTCTGTAGCCTTAAAAATTGTTGCGTTAAAGAAGGAGAAAGATGAAGAGTAAGCATTTCACTACGTGAAAAATAACATCCATTTAACATCCCG